TCCTCGCCCTCCTCTTCCTCTCCTCTCCCTCCACCAACCCACTACTCCTCCCCTCCGCACCAGCAACCTCCCAAAGCGGTCCACCAACCAACTCCACCAATCCTAGTACCCTCCCTCTAACCGTAGCACCATCCCTCCTGTTCTTCCCCTCTCGTCTACTCCTCGATATACTCTCACAAAACTCCCACAACTTGCCCTCCGCTTTGATGGCCCTTTGAGCGTCCCGTACTGGCATCCACTCCTTGTCGAGTCTGACCTTGGCCGGGACTTTGGAATCGCGGGAGCGTGAGACGGAGATGATCCCCTCTTCCTCGAAGCGCGTGTAAGCATTCTTGAGCGTTTCTTTGTTTACAGCTTCGAAGTAAGAGAGGTCGCCTTGGTGGTAGAGAGTTTTGCCGAGGAGCTGGGCGCGGTCTTGCACTTGTTTCAGATCGAGCCATTCGGAGCCAGATTGTTTTGTTGCTGAGGGTGAAAGAGAGGGCCCGGTTGCAGGAGGAGTCAACATGAGCAGGCTGACTGCGCCAAGCCATGTGGCTTCGATGAAGGGCCAGATGAGGAAGCAGTAGAAGTCGAAGTTCTCCTGACCTCTGGCACGCTCACTTGCGCTGAGCTCGATCGTTGAGACTTTGCCATCTCGATCCTGGGTCGTCGTGATGACGTCGTCTGTTTCCAGTCCTTGAAGAGTCTTTGAGAGGTTGTCTGCAAGAGGCATGGTGGGGAATATGAATTCGGCACGGAACAGCTATGGACCACATTAGTATCTCTGCGTAATAGAATCGGTCGCAACAGCGACTTACCTGAGACAGGAAGAACGTATAATCGTAAAGTTCCTGGTAGCCCATTTTCTGGTTCTCTGGCCCACCTCCCCGCTTCACTTTCGTATACATGGCCGCACTAACAAGGGCCTCCGAGACGAAGAGGTGAATCGTCATGTTCCGGTAGAAGCTCAACTGGAATCTATCTACTGCGTAGTAGGTAGGCTCAGGCAGCCCTTCGACCACTCCCACAAGGTTTGGTCCAAGCACTTCAAGCCCTCTCTCAACCACGGTTGCGGTTGGGAGCCCTCCAAAATGCGCAACGCGGCCACCTTGCCCACGGACTCTTTCGCAAAGCCACTCCACCCGCCTCACGAGCTCAGCCTTGCCAACCCCACGTCCTCGCAAGGTCAATAAGACGGTGCCGATCAGTGCTGTAGGCATGACCACGGAAACGGCATTGATATCGGCAAGAACCTTATAGCCCAGTGTTGTTAACAGTCTCCGTTTGAGCGTCGTGTCATAGCTCGTGTCCATCTGCCGTGGTAGGCTGCCTATGCGCGAGCGTTGCTCCTCGACAAAAGCACGCAGGCTCCAGGGCTCGTGAAAACGGACGTCAACGCGGCCTAATTTGAGCGACAAAATGGAGGATGAAGAGAGGAAGGAGAAAAGGCTTTCTTTGGGCTTCGGTTGACCAAGGAGTTCCGAGATGTAGGAGCTTGATAGCGTTAGACATCAACGGTCGAAAACAAGTGATATGTATGGAGAATGTACTCACTCTACTTCAATCACCTTGTCGTACTGGGTACTGACAGGGCATATTATGGCGTCTTTGACGCGTCCAGAAAGGACACTATCAAGTAAAAAACTCAAGATGCCGAACTTCGGCTGTAACAGCTTTCCTGTTCGTGAGCGACCGCCCTCTGCTGTATATCAGTATGCACTCCTGGTCTATAGGTTGATGTCACTTACCAACGAAACATTCGAAGTTATAGCCGTTCTGTAACAGGGTATCGATGTAAGACTGAACAAGAGTTGTATACAAAGCATCCTCGCCGAAACTACGCCGTATCCACATAGCACCTGTCTCCGGTCAGCTCTCGAATACTCCATCACCGTGATCGCACACTCTTACCAGCATGCTGAAGAAAGGGCCCAACGACAGGAAAATTTAGGTTGTCTCCCGCAACGACCGTCGGTAAAGCAAGCCCGAGCCGGTAGCATATGAGTTGTAAAGAAACGTAGTCGACGTGAGAGCGATGGCATGGTAGGAATATGATCGATTGGTTCTTTTTCGCCGCTTGCTCTGCTACGGCACGGAGGCGCAAAACCTCTTCGCTTGAGACATGGATTCCTACAGGCAATCAGTACATCAGCCCCACAGGGCAGGGCATCGACTAGGTTTGGTTAGGAGAGTTTAGGCTTACCTTGATGGTACGCACGCGTGACCAATTGAGTACAAAGATAATATGCTCCCCGAATGAACCGTCTACTCTCCATCTTACATATCATCTTGTCTGTCCAGTCTGCTGCAACCTCCTTCAATTGGCCCTCGATCTCCCTCCTCCTCTTCTCGCTTGTCATGCCTGCATTTCCAGCATTCCTCTCTGCTTTAAACATGCCTTCTGAAATCTCCACATCCACCCTACGTTTTGCCAGCTCTTCGATCTTCCTCAAGAGTTGCGGGCTTTGCATCACCATGCCCCTCATCCGCTCGCTGAAGCCATTGTAGAATATATCTTGGCCGATAAAGGTATCGTAGGAGCGCCATCCTGTACCGGAGACATGCAGGCTAACTTCGCGAAGGAAGTCAATGGGTGAGGAGCGGAAGCGAGCGTAGGATGTTAGTAAGGGCTGCTCAGGCGATGTTTCTGGATCGTGCGGTAATTCGGGAGCGGAGGAGACGCCCGGCGGGAGTATTGTGAGACGGTTCCCCAGGATAGAGAGATCAGGAGCCGCGTCGGACGAAGAAGGTGACTTAGGGTTAGCCATGGCCAATGTCAGCTCAGTCGAGAGTCTATCATGGCGCGAATAAGTATTGTCGGTGGTGTAGATGCGTGCCGAGGTCAGATGGGGAGTGAGTGTCGGGCGTCTCGTCTGTGCCCCAGAACCCCAGATTCGCGTGGCGCGCCGCTGCATCGTGTCATGCGGGGCTCAGATCCGCGGACGAGATGTGCCATCTGTCGTCTCGCTTGGCAACACCCCGATCCCTCTTCCACCACTTGCCTGCCATGGCGACACAAGACCCCAATCAAAAGCGGATCGTGTTCCTGCATCCGGATCTAGGCATTGGCGGTGCGGAGCGGCTGGTCATAGATGCCGCCGTCGGTCTGCAATCGAGAGGCCACAAAGTCACCATCTTCACATCCTATTGCGACCCGTCGCATTGCTTTGAAGAAGCACGGGATGGTGAGCACTCCAGCTTCCAGGATTGGCTGTATAGCTGAGATCTTCAAGGATAATACTGAATTCTGCAAGGCACTCTCGATGTCCGCGTTCGCGGCAATTCGTTCCCTTCCTCCATCTTCGGCCGGTTCGCCATACTCTGCGCCATCGTTAGACAGATACACCTGGTACTGAGCATAGCACTCTTCTCACATGAGCTTGAGTCGCTTCGACCCACCGCATTCTTCGTCGACCAACTGAGCGCCTGCGTGCCTCTCCTCAGACTGGTATATCCGAACGCGAAGATACTATTCTACTGCCATTTCCCGGATCAGCTATTAGCGCAGAAGAGCTCAGGCATACTAGGTGTTGTCAAGTGGTTTTACAGGCTACCGTTTAATCTTGTGGAAAGTTGGAGCACCGGGTGCAGTGATGGCATTGTCGTCAATAGCAGGTTCACTGGAGGCGTGGTCAAAAAGGCATTCCCAAGACTGAAACGAAGACGGCTCGACTGCATTTATCCTTGCGTGGACATCAACGTGACTGATAGTGAGAGGAAGCCTTTGTGGCCAGGTAGGGAGGTTCTACTGAGCATCAATCGATTCGAAAGGAAGAAAGACGTAGCTCTTGCGATCAAGGCCTTCGCTGGGTTGAATGAACGGGATAGGAAGGCTGCGAGACTAGTCATCGCTGGTATGATCTTACCAATTCTTGTATTCACTGACACACTCGCTGACGAATCCTAGGTGGCTATGACTCTCGCGTACCAGAGAACGTTTCATACCACAAGGAGCTTGAGGTTCTGGCAGACTCCTTCAAACTCACGCACGAGACTCACAAATCGCTCCCAGATCCATCAAAAATCTCAGAGTCAACGCAGATTCTTTTTCTTCTCTCCGTATCCAACTCGCTAAAGCAATCCCTGCTCAACTCCGCCACCCTGCTTATTTACACTCCCCTGAATGAGCACTTCGGCATAGTTCCCCTCGAAGCCATGCTCAACCGCGTGCCGGTACTTGCAGCGGACCAAGGTGGGCCTCTCGAGACTGTTGTAGATGGATCAACAGGCTGGCTGCGGCCCACATCCTCCGCTCGCCCTTGGACTCAAATCATGGCGGAAGTGCTCGATATGTCGCGTACCCAGGTCGGCAAGCTGGAACTGGCCGAGATGGGCACGAGAGGGCAAAAGCGCGTACAGGCTGAGTTTTCGAAGGAGAAGATGGCTTGGAGGATGGAGGTGGAGATAGACAGCTTGGAGAAGGAGCGGCGCCAGGATATGTTTCCCATGTGGCTTGTGTGGACGGTAGTATTGTCGACTATCGCAGGTGTCCTGGGTTATGTGTTCATGAGGTTGCTGTTCTATATGTTGGAGCTGGATCTGGAACTTGAGCGAGCTGGCAATGAGAGCAGAGCACTGAGAAGCGCGAAAGGGGAGCTTTGAGATCCTTATGAGCTTCGCTGTACATAGTATGTGCATGCTCTCCGTTGTACAATAACGCTCCAGGAGCATCACGAATTGCTCAGGAATGCAATCCGACATGTCATCCTTCTTTGCGGGCCCTTTGGAGCATGTATGCTACCTCCTTGACCTGATATCCGGACAACAGCCTGCCTCCGTTGCGGTTGGGGACAGTTTCCTCCGATGTTCTGGGGCATAGTCAACCTTGTGCATTTCTTTGTCTTAAATGCCTTTAGCCCGGGTACTCCCTATCCATTAAATGATCAGGTATGTCTAATTTCCCTCAGTGCGTGGCAGTGGTTATCAGGAGCTACTTACGAGCGACCCGGAACGATGTACTTGGCGCTGTTTTTCGAAGTACATATTGAAACTACCCCACAAAATTAATTAGTGTTTACCCTGGTGAGGTGGCCGAGTGGTTATGGCGCTGCGTTTAGGTTCTTCAGACCCGAACAACTATTTCCCGCAGTGAGAAATCGCGTGGGTTCGAATCCCACCCTCATCATCATTCTTTTGCATCTCGAGAGAGCTGTTAGTATCTCCTTTTGTACTTACGTGCTTGTATACATGTAGCGTAGTATCGAATCTGGAAAGTGTGCTGGTCCAGAAAAAGTGCATGAGGCCGTGCGACACCGTGTGCGTGTAACCTCGGCGCTTCTGTTGCCCATCACGAATGATTATGGTACCATCCACCTCTCATCAAGTTCCCAAGCCAAATATACCTGAATCATGGTGCTCTGGTTTGGGTTGTTAATTCTAACTTTGGAAAGATATGACATGACGATACTCACTCATGATGGTGGTACGAGCATAAGGTACACAAAGCTCAACTCTTGAGAAACTCTTGAGATTGCTCGGAACACCGGAAGGAGCAAATATCGAACGTACAACCGCTAGGATGACTCTCGAAAGCGTATAGCAGGTACTCGAATCATGTCTATTGTGTTGCTGAGCTGACAGAGATCTCGGCTTCCTAACGACTGTCTCAGGTTACAATGTGCGATAAACCGTACCGACTTGAGCACTAATTCAGGTACATAGTTCTGCAGTACCATTTGTGTCAGCGGTGGGTCGCTCGCATGGTGCTCTCGCATGGTGCTCTCGCTAGGATCATTACGCCCTAAAAGAAGCGTCCCTTTGTTGGAAGAGTACTGTATCACAGCCTCTTGGCAGCACATGCCGAGGAATGTACGCTACTGGACATACCGAACCAATTCTCAAAAGCCAGACTCAATTACTATACACCTCCTTCAGCTCTGCCAAGGTATCGACGAGCTCCAGCAATAGGTCCACTGGAATTGCCTTTGAGCACACAGGTCTTAGTTGTCTTGGCAGGTGCTTTGTCCTGATATCTTTTTCTCGTTTGCGGCTCTGGGCCCTACGCTTTGTTCGCCGAAGCCGAACGACGATGTTGTATGAGAAAACTTTAGGAATACAGGGCAGTCAGCGATGTTAGTAAAGTGTGGATGTCGGTAGGCTCAGTTGCATATAAGACATGATGTTTTCTGATTGGCAGAGCTTTCTGACGTCGAGAGAGGTGGAAAGGAGTACCTACCTCACTGCTTAGTATCCGTATCCCGTAGCCTTTGTCTGCTTCCGTTGAGTCTGATGTCAAGGCTGTCGAGCCAATCTCCGGCATTATCTGGCCGTCAAAGGACCCGACGAATGGCACTCAGCCACGGCCAGCAATCAGGGATATCCATCATGCCCTCTCCGGCCAGCTCTTGGAGAGCCCGAATTGTGTGCCATAACAATATTGACTCCTCCTGTTGCAGCTCAGACAGGATCTCCTCATATTACGATACTATCGGGCATTACTACAATAGCAGACTCTCCAGAGCTTGCGCTTACCTTCTCATTCGGGTATCGAGGCAGGTAACCTTCATCCCGATACAACCTGCGCAAGCCACCCAGAACCTCGCTCCACGATGGCGGATCCATTGACTATGGGCCTACTTTGGCAGCATGAACAATCACTCAGGGCAGACTTCAGCAGCTGCCAAGTATCCCTGGGAAGCTTCCGAAGAAAGCTGAAACGGGCAGAAGAAGAGCTCCAGAAATCTACGAAGCGTGCAGAAAAGAAGAAGGCGAAGTACAAGATTATCAGGCACAAAATAGACATTACTGGGCTCGAGGCTCAGCAAGCTACCCTGATGGAGAACCTACGGCTTTGCCAGCTACAGCTTCACAATATGCAGCTTGCTCTGGCAGCAGCTTACTACCCTTACTCGCCGGCGCCAACTTACTATCCTTACCCACCGGTGTCAGCATATCCGTCTTTCGCGCAGCAGCAGCCAAACCTGATCTACCATGACCTCAGCCGCATGCGCGACTCGAGCCCGGCATCCCATACCAATACCGATGGCTCGGGCGCCGACTCCGGCTTCCATGGGCCAGCGATGTACGCGCAGCCGCTCGATCTCGATCTCAGCTATCAAGAACCGCAGCACCTTTTCGCACATGAGATGCTAGCTACGCCGCCACAGAATGCTGCGCCAGAGTATATGGGATATGCTATCGCCAGAACACCTGCTGTTCCGGCCTCTATCGAAGCCTCAGCTGCAACTTTTGGGAGCCCAACGACTGCCACGTTCAACGAAGTACGCAGCGAGCGGAAGAAGCATGAACGACGGTACTCGGAGGCCGCGATCCAGTTGGTTGAGTTGAGGCTCAGGCATCCCAGGAGTCCGCTTACGCCGAAGTTTCCCAAGGGGTGGCAGCGAAGGGGCCGGAGTATGGATCTGAAGAGCCCGCTTGATAGTCCAGTTTCGAGCGGTGTGAGTCCGAAAACTGTACTTAGTCCTGCGGTGCTGAGCCCCAGGCTGGAGAAAGTTGTTGAGTTGGAGGCGTGAATGCGCGGATTTTGTTCTTTGTATCTGTGGGTAATGAATGGGTTGCCGTCGCTTTAGTTCTGTTTCGGGCGCTCTTGCTTGGCTTGTTGTTCGGATTTTGTTGGATCGAGAGTGATGTTTAGATATCGCATACATGTAATAGAATAAAAGGCAAGGATGACCACTGTTCCGCGGACTTGTGCATGATCTAGCGCTCGCGTAAATGTACATGCATACATGTTACGTGATGTTGGATCGTTAGGGTGCCGATGGCATCGAGCAGACCCGCATTGCAAGAAGCCTGGAAGATCGTTTATGTATGCTTGCGACCCTCTTGGTCGACCACAAATGTACAGTACACGTACACTAGTGGTTATGTCGCAAAAAAGGACGTGCTGTGTCTCAAGGCCTTGTCAACCGCTGCGGTGGGGTACGTCTAGTAAGGCCGCAGAAGCAGAAGGAGATGCAAAAGAAGAGGTCGATCCCGGGTTCGAACCGGGGTTGCCGGAAGACCTGATTTTGATTGAGTTCAAAATCCGGAGTGATGACCACTACACTAATCAACCGCTTGCTTGATGGCAGCTGCTCTGCTAACATCAATAATATCATTTGGCATCACATCGCTTCACGCTGGCTTCGCATGAGCAGCTCAGCTCCAGGTTGCCGGACATCCTTCTCGCTCGACTATACAGTCTTTAGCATATCCCAGATCTTGATGGCAGATATGTCGGTCCAGGTCATATCAGGCGGCACGTCTTATACTACGAGACCTTTCTACCACAGCAGTACATACTTACCCTTGCATCTAAAGTCTAGTTAGCTTCAGTGCTATTTCCCAGTATGGAATCGTGCCATGAAACCATCTAGTCACTCATTCTTTGCGGGATCAGAAGAGTGGACTTTCTCTGCAATGGTCAGTACAACAAGTTCCTGTGCTGTGTCTCGGAGGAGATCGAGGGCACGGTCCTATAATCTAGTTCGGTGTATCTGTGTCGACTGATTCTAAGGTGATGTCTACCACGTTATTGGTGGATGGAAGTAGGTTATCTAAGGTGCACACCCGCCTGAAGTGACTGCAAACCAGGCCGTTCATCACGGTCAGTGTATTCGCTGTTCTGTTGTAGGTCGTTGAGGACCACGAATGGTCAGTGACACTGAATGAACTACTGAAGACCGCTTCGCAAATGCAAATTCAATTCAATGACCTAGAGCTACCTAGGTAGTAACGACCCTTGAAAATAGGTCGCGTTGAAGTCACGTAGACACATTTTTTTCCATAGTACAACAAACGTGGCCGAGATGATTCACACCCAACAGGAACGCAGGAATTTCTAGGTCAAGTCATAAGCTCGCAGAAAGCGCATGAAGCTACCTTAGGCCCCAACCGAGCGCAATTATGTCGGCACGCAAGATCGCATCGAGCGCTCTCAAGGAAAGTGAGTATCGGCGAGTAATGCCTTCTTTGCTTGTACCCATCACATTATTATATACACAAGGTAACAGTAGGTGCGGATAAATGCTCATCTGAGTCGTATCTGGGGCATTGACTTTACAGACCGTCTTGTCTCGGTTGGTATCAGCTTCAAGATCGTAATTCCAGCCAGTAGCCACGATGCTCAGTCGCCAGCCTATAAGTCCCTCGGCCTTGAAATCTCCATCCTACCAGGGCGCCACCAATCAGCGCCAAAAACGCCTGAGATCACTGTACTCTGCCAGCCAGAGAGCGCATATTGCAAGGGTATCCACTATCCTGCAGTCATTCGTAATCATATAACCCAAAACGCCCCTTCCCCCTTGCCAGCTCTTAAGGCGCATGGGTCCAAACTCCGAATTTGACCAGTCCACAGCACCGCTCTTCCAAAAGTGAAAACCTTGCCTCTCAGATGCCGTTAGTCGGATTGGTGTGTAGCGGAACGCGTGTCACAGTGTCGCTAGGTTCAGCAACAGGAGATGGTCCTTCGGTCGGGTCCACCTCCATCGGATCGTGTCCGTGATAAACGGCAGGCTGGGGAGCTTCGAATGATAACTTCTCGTCTGCTTCTTGAGGTCGGCTTCCGTTGGTGTGGTGTGAGGCCTCCTTTGCCTTCTTCTCCTTGTGTGCCTTGTAGGTAACGGTTCGAGGCACGACGTCGGTAAGAAATTCTAGGTTGTCGATACGAGCTACGGCGTTGGCTGAGAAGTCGTGAGTGAGATCACAACATGATGTCCGCTAGCATGCCAACTTACCAACATCCTTGTATTGGATATTCCTTCGGGGCTTCCTCTCTGACTTGACTACGTTGTGGGTTTGCTCGACAAGGTACTGTAGAAACATTTCGGCGGCTACTGTAATGACAAAAGCGGCGTTGTTCGAGCAGTTTGAAATATCCTCGTCGGCATGAATGATCTTCTTGACACGAGCAACTGCATATAAGTGTCAGTCACAGGACACAGGTTGCCGGCATGTTCAACCTACGGGGCAGGGAGACAGTGCCCGTGATCTCTGCGGACGGCGCAATTGGTGTGTTATTGTAAGGCATGACTGAGGTCGGCGCAGAGCGGAAAGGTTTTGAGTATGTGTTTCTGGAGGTATTGTAGATGGAACAGATACCCATTCTATGAAATGTCCGAGCGCGACATGGAGGTGGACGCGCCCTCGCTCGGGCCGACGACGCGACTCCAGCTGGCATGTGAAGCGAAGCTACGGACCATCCATCAATCAACAGCTTCATCTAACCCAAAGCGCCGACATACGCTCAAATCCTCGGCGCATATTTCCAGGCGCGAGAAATGATGCCATGAATCTTAGAGATGGCTTCAACGCTACTACTACTGGTCGTCGACCTTCGCTTGCCGCAACCCTCTCTTCTCGCTCCCTAGGCCGCCGCTTGTCCGCTCTCTCCACAGCAGAGCAGGGTCGCAGCGAAGATGTGAATAATGCCGATCAAGAGGTTGCGGATGAGATTGATGAGATCAAGAGATATGAGGATTTTACAACCATCGACTGGGTTCGGGATGCAGCGCGCGAGCAGCAGCGACGGAAGGCTAAGAGGCAAGAGAAGGCGGACTTCTTCGAAAGAGAGGGTGGTTTTGGATGGCGCAGGAAGGTCTGGGAGTTCTATGATGCTGGGCAAGCCTGGATCGTAGTCAGCCTTATAGGAGCTGCCATCGGCCTCAATGCAGCATTCTTGAACATAATCACCGAATGGCTGTCCGACATCAAGCTGGGATATTGCACCACAGCCTTCTACCTAAACGAGAGCTTCTGCTGCTGGGGCGCCGAAGAAGGTTGTAAGGAGTGGCACCGCTGGAGCTCCCTCTGGCCCATCAACTATGTCCTCTACATACTCTTCTCCACCGCGTTTGCGTATACCTCAGCCAGATTGGTGAAATCATTCGCTCCCTATGCTGCTGGATCAGGAATCTCAGAGATCAAGTGTATCATCGCTGGCTTCGTAATGAAAGGATTTCTAGGCTTTTGGACCTTGCTCATCAAATCTATTGCGCTACCGTTGGCTATTGGTTCCGGATTATCTGTTGGCAAGGAAGGTCCCAGCGTTCACTATGCCGTCTGCACAGGCAACGTAATATCGAGGTTCTTCGACAAATACAGACGGAATGCGGCCAAGACGCGTGAGATACTGAGCGCATGCGCTGCTGCAGGCGTAGCAGTGGCTTTCGGAAGTCCGATTGGCGGCGTGCTCTTTTCGCTTGAGGTTTGTCAACAAAACCATAATTGTGGATTGCCGCTGATTGTACCCAGGAAATGTCCAACTATTTCCCACTCAAGACATTGTGGAGAAGTTATTTCTGCGCCCTTGTTGCCACTGCTGTCTTAGCTGTACGTTGTCCGCCACCTGTTGTGAGGCTTACGACTAACCTACAGCAGGCAATGAATCCTTTCAGGACCGGCCAGCTCGTCATGTTCACGGTCAGCTACGACCGATCCTGGCATTTCTTTGAAGTCATCTTCTATATCATTATTGGTATATTTGGAGGTCTCTACGGAGCATTGGTCATCAAATGGAACCTTCGTGCGCAGGCCTTTCGCAAGCGATACCTTTCCAAGTACGCCATTTTGGAAGCCACTTTGCTTGCGACCTTTACCGCAATTCTTTGCTATCCTAACAAGTTTTTGCGCATCGATATGACAGAGAGCATGGAGATTCTGTTCCTTGAATGTGAGGGTGGCCATGATTACGATATGCTGTGCGAGTAAGTGCACATTCGCGCATCTAAAACTATACAGGCGTAGCTAATATTCATCTTAGCCGGGACAACCGCCTACACATGATCTTGTCACTGGCCATAGCAACTGTTCTCAGGATCTTCCTCGTCATCATCTCCTACGGCTGCAAGGTCCCTGCTGGTATATTCGTGCCTTCCATGGCCATAGGAGCTTCGTTTGGGCGAATGGTTGGCATCCTCGTACAAAGCCTTTACGAGACCTTCCCAGACTCTCGATTCTTCTCCGCTTGTCAACCTGACGTGCCATGCATAACCCCAGGCACTTATGCTTTCTTGGGAGCAGCCGCTGCCTTGAGTGGAATTATGCACATAACGGTCTCAGTTGTGGTTATCATGTTCGAATTGACAGGTGCTTTGACATACATCTTACCAACGATGGTGAGTTGAGTCTGCATGCTACCTAACAGATCATGACTAATTCTCGCCAGATCGTTGTGGGCATCACCAAAGCAGTGAGTGACCGCTTTGGTAAAGGCGGTATCGCTGATAGGATGATCTGGTTCAACGGCTTTCCTTTCTTGGATAATAAGGAAGATCATACATTTGGGGTACCAGTATCCCAAGTAATGATGAGCGAGTTGACAACCCTGCCGGCAGCTGGGATGGAAGTGCGAGACGTTGAGAAGGTGCTGGAAGACACTCGCTTCCAAGGTTTTCCGATAGTCGAAGACGCGGCTTCCATGATCCTCGTCGGTTATGTAGGCCGCACCGAGCTTCGCTATGCTCTGGACAGAGCCAGACGCGATCAAATGGCTCCGCCCCGTGCGAGGTGCTTCTTCACGGCTTTACCAGGCCATAATGCCATCACGCCCTCGACTCCTGGACCGGCAATTACCTTCGACAATATCGCCGAGACTGCTGGCCAGATGTCCATAGATCTGAGCAAGTTTGTGGATTCCACGCCGCTAGCAGTACATCCACGACTGCCGCTGGAGACTGTGATGGAGCTCTTCAAGAAACTCGGACCGCGTGTGATCTTGGTTGAACATCGTGGCAGACTAACAGGTCTGGTTACGGTTAAGGACTGTCTCAAATATCAGTTCCACGTCGAGGCCCACGACAACCCAAAGGATGACTCTTCACTGAGAGACTCGCAAGACCGTCTTTGGCACATGTTGTCCCATGTTGCAACGTGGTTGGGTTCGAAGAAGGATGCGCTTCTACACAGGAGTATCCGATTGCGAGGTGATACGGCAACTACGGGCAGCCCCCGTGCAGCTGGTGGACCATCATTCGAGCCAAATGCCTCAAATGGTAGAGGGTCTGTGACACTTGGTACAGCAGACGCCGTACGTGGAGGTGACGGCATGGAGCTGGAAAATCGCTAGCTAGGATAAAT